ATATGGAAATTTTTATTTTTATTTTATTTTTCGTCAAAGGAAAAAAATATTAAATTAATAACAATAATAATAACAATCTAATAGTGATAATAATAATTTGAATTATAATAATTTTTTATAATTTTAATAATTTATTAATTTTAAAAATTTAATAATTTAATAATAATTGTGTATAGCTTGCATTTGGTACATTGGTAACGCTTGGTCTGGGAGTTTTTATTGCAAAAAGAAGAGTAGATGCTAAAAAACCCGATTTTTTAACTGCTTCTCCTCCTATTGTTTCTTCTGACGCAGAAGAAGAAGCATTCATTAAAGAATTTCTAAAAGCCGCAGAAGAAGAAGACGTAAAGAAAAAACATTAGTTTTTTTTTTTTATCCATCCAATCAGTTCATGATCATATTTTATAATTATTATTATTGAAAAAAATATTTAAAAAAATATATCTACAATTAATTTTAAAATATGTATACTTTAATTTTATTGGCTAATTATAAGGTTGTTACAATTATAATTGTTTCAAATAGATTTATTCAAATAAAAAAACTATTTAAACTGCCAAACATTATAAATTAGTTCATTGATCATAAAGAGTATTTAAAGATATTTGAGATATTTGTATTTATACTAATGTTACAAAGTTTTATAATAATAGACAACAAGAAAGACAAATTAAAAATATATATATATATATTGAACCACCTTTCTGAGTCTCGGGTTTTTAATGAGCGAGCACAATAATAACGTGTACGTGGTGTCGGATTCATTATTTGTGAATTCATCACATGGTAATGCATTGACGCCGGATGAAGGTTGTCAACTCAAGAATTTAAAGTTGATGGTAGACTGTAAAAAATGTTAAATGAAAAGAAACAACTTGAAGGTCTCTCTCTCTCTCTCTCTCAATATTCTGAAATGAAAACGAAGTAAAAAAAAAAACTTTGAAAAATGAAAACTGAAGTAAAAAAAACTTTATAAGCAAATAAAAATCAATTAATTTCTTGTAAAGTTTGTAAAGTGTAATATATTAATTCGGGTAGATATTTTTTAAGTAATAATAAAAAAAATTGACTCTTACAGGGACCCATGTAGGAATCGAACCTACTAAAGAAATATATTTAATATATCTTTAAACCATTTGGGACCTTTTTGATAATGCAGAAGTCAAATAGAAAAAGAAACTGCAATGATTTTTAAGACCAGTAAAAATCGACTGGACAAGTTTTAAGGGAAAACTGTAACCCATGTCAAAATGCTCCAAATTTTTCAAAATTTTAATTAGAATATTTCGATAATTATTTGCTAATATGCTTAACTTTTTTTTTGCGTATTTCAAATAATCCTGTTTGAAATATTCAATTAATAGGTTGTCCGATTCTTCACATTCTACTTTAAGACCAGTAAAGGTTAACTGGATAGTTTGTGGTAGCTATCACCGCAATTTTTTTATATAAACAATTAATAAATTAAATTATTATAAAGGAAACCGCTGAGGTGCGGGTAATTATTGATATAAAGGAACGTTCACAAAAAGTGGCCCCAGTTTCATAAAAACAATATCTCAAGAGTTTGATATTTGCAATGGTCCCCAGGCCTGGATCTCTGTAGGAATCGAACCTACTGGGAAAAATCCCAAACCATTGAGATCTTTTAATTAAAGAATTCCATATGAGTATAAATGGACTTTGGATAAGAGAAGAATACTTGCTTCAACTATTTCCTGAAGGAACCGTAGAGGGATATAGAAAAGAAGAAAAAGAGAAGAGAAGTAGTAATATAGAAAAAGAGGCTGAAAGGAAAGGAATATAGAAAAAGAGAAGAGATTGAAAGGAAAGGGGATATAGAAAAAGAGAAGAAGCAAGGATAAAAAATTGTTTAAAAAAAAAAAAATGTTCATAAAAAAAAGTTCATTATCGGATAAATGCCTATCACTAGATATTAGATCTGTAGATCTGTATTACATAGATAATAAATTATCATAAAAAATTAATTTAGATAATAGTAGAAATTGGGAATATATATATATATCATTCCATACGATTGGATAGGTAAAAATAATAATAATAAAAAAATGGGTAAAAAACCATTTATCGATCGTAAAACTGCCAAACATTATAAATTAGTTCATCGATCGCAAAGAGATCCATTAATAAATGACGAAGAAGCTTAATCCAGAGTT